CATCTTGCTTTTAACCTTTAAGCTGTCCTTATTCATTCCTGGGCATAGGCTGAACTAACCTTGGGAAGGAATTCAGTTTGTGGTTTGACTCTGAAATAAAATTGGCAATAGCCCTTTCCCACAAAGACCCCCTTCTTGCCCGGGACCAGTCAGCCTTTGTAGGAATAACAAATTAGCTATAAGATTGGAAATTATGGTTTAGGAGTCATGCAACCACTGGCTTTAAGAGTCTGAGCTTCCCCAAATTGCTCCTGGGGATACGTCACTATTGTAAAACCTAAAATCAGTGCTTGAGATATTTTGCAGACCCTGTACTGGATGGATCAGCTGACACCACCCAGACTAGTAATCTGGATCAACCAGTTCTGTGATCCCATCCAGGAACAGAAGACAGCAAGAAAACCTCACTTCAGCCCCCTAGGATTCTATCTCCAACCTGGCCAATCAGCACTCCACACTTCTCGAGCCCCTACCTGCCAAATTATCTTTAAAAATTTCTATCTCTGAATGCTCAGGGAGACTGATTTGAGTAGTAATCAAACTGTGGTCTCCTGCATAGCTGGCTTTGTGCGAATTACTTTTTCTCCATTGCAATTTCCCTATCTTGATAAATAGGCTCTGTCTAGGCAGCAGAAAAGGTAAACCTGTTGGGTAGTTACAACATGAACAGACATTTCTAAAAAAATGACATACAAGTGGAAAAAACTCAAGAAAAAAATGCTCAATATCACCAATCATCAGAGAAGTGCAAATTAAAACCACAATGAGATATCTTACACCAATCAGAATGACCAGTCAAAAAAACACTACTCTGAATGAATTTGCAAGGCCAGTATTGTATTTCTACACGTTGGGCTTATCTCATCCTCATTGCTCCCACTCCCCACCATCTACATGAATGTTTACTTGATCTGATGCCAACTTTGCTATCAGATGTTGGCATGAATGTGGAGAAAAGGGGAGGCTTACACACTGTTAGTGGGAATGCAAATTAGTACAACCTCTGTGGAAAACAGTATGGAGACCTCTCAAATAACTAAAAATATAACTATCATTGAACCAGCAATCCCACTACTGGGCATCTACCCAAAAGAAAAGAAAGCATTATATGAAAAAGACTCCAGCACTTGTATGTTTATTGCAGCGGTATTCACCATGGAATATTACGCAGCCGTAACAAAGAACGAACTCATGTCCTTCAGGCAACGTGAATGAAGCTAGAGGTCATTATTCTAAGTGAAATAACTCACAAAAGAAAATCAAATACTGCATGCTCTCGCTTACAAGGGAGAACTAAATAATTGATACATGGGGACATATAGATGGAAATGACAGACACTGGGGACTCCAAAGGGCAGGGGGGAGGTTGGGACGGAGGTGGGAGCTGAAAAATTACTTCTTAGGTACAATGGTCACTATTCGGGTGTTGGGGACACTGGAAGCTCAAATCTCACCATTGTGCAGTATATCCATCTAACAAACCTGCACATGTACCTGTGACTCTAAAAATTAAAAACAAAACAACTTTTAGAGGTTTATTCTGTGCTGTCAGAGTCTCCTTGGTCCATAGACTTAGACAGTCTACATGGACTGTCCTGTCTTTTATTAATTGTTGACCTTAACCATTTTCACGTTACTTTGCATTAGAACAATAGCCTTCTCTAAATGTTTCTCACTCAAAGAAGCAGCTTTGCAGTCAGCCAAACCCAAGTTGAAATCCTGCCTTTACAACAATCAATCTTGCCAAAATACAAGACCTTTCAAAAACTCAATTTTTAAAATCTGTAAAAAGGGGACACTATTGCTGCAGCACAGTTTCTGTGAGGATTAACTGGGTTTTGTAGGTAAAGCGCCCAGCACGATATCTGGCTTATTGTATGCATTCCCCAGGGTAGCTCTGATACTTCAAATTTATTATCATTCAGATAGTGCTATTTGGTAATGAGGTAAGTTTATGTATGGGAAAAGCATATTTTGGAAGCAAAATAATACTCTAAACCAATATCAAAATAAAAATATATAAATGTGTCCCAGAATAAAGGGTTTTCCAAAATATCAGAAGTGATCAGGAGAAAAGCCACACTTGAAATACCAATTACAGCACTTTCTTTTGTATTCATGAAACAAGTCATCTAATACATTTTGTTATTATGATCTGAGTAACTGTATATACCTAAAAGCAGTAAAATTATGTCTATTTAAGATTGTTTTATAACTGAGAGTTTTCACTGATTTACCATGGTTATGTCCACCTTCCCCGCCCACAATTACTTTGAAATTTAAAAATTTTATTTCACATAACAGACCAATTATAATAAAATGTTACATATCTGTAAATACTTTCAGATAACTTATCCACTTAATCCAGAAAAGCAGGATCCAGCAGTGGGGAAATTCTAATCAGAAACTCTAAGACCAGATTAGTGTTTTCGTTAAAAAGGTAGCAGTATGAGGCCAGGTACGGTAGCTCTCACCTGTAATCCTAGCATTTTGGGAGGCTGACGTGGGTGGATCACAAGGTCAGGAGTTTGAAATCAGCCTGGCCAAAGACACCACCAACATGGTGAAACCCTGTCTCTACTAAAAA